CATACATGCATACAGATGTATTTCCATACCAAGGTTAAGTGCTTTACCCCAAACATTTGAAGAGATATGCAATATGAAACTTTCAGCCAGTATGGGAGGTGCTAGGACTCTTTTCCAAAAACGTCCATTTTTCTCCGTGAGTATGAACATGATTTCACAAAGTGTTGGCAAACTGTTAATCTGATTAACGATTAAAATGTTAATCGCGTTTGACGATTAAAATTAATTAGTCGTAATCAACTGTACGATTAATGATAACATTTTTTTTAATCGTTAACCGCTGGCTGCGATTACGTTTAATTAATTTAAAACATTAATCGTTAATCCAATTAAAAATAAAATCTGATTAATTTGTCTAGTTTGTCCGAGTTTGAAACCAAACACCAGTTATAGTAATTATTTTGTGTTTTGCGCTTATAAAAAGTACGTAATATAAAAAATAATAATTATTGTTATTAGTAATACATAAACTGGGAACTTTCTCAAACCTAGTTTGTAAAACGTTTGTTGGTATATATCTTAATGAAAATGCACACCAAATTGCTTAGATTGATGAGGAAACCCGACTTAGCCATACCGGATTGACTTGCTTTGTGTGCACAGGGAAATTCCAGCATAACTTAATTAACCACCAAACCTACTTGAATTTAATCGAATTAACTAATTAAAACATCAATCGATTAATGCCAACATTGATTTCACATACATATCACCATACCAAGTTTCAGTTCTCTCCCACAAATACTTCCAGAGATATGTATGTAATATGAAAATTCCAATTTGTATGGGAGGGGCCTTGAGTTATCGGACTTACTTTCAGTCTAAGACCATCCTTCCGAAATCCGTAGTAAGTGTACCAAATTTCGTTCTGATCGGAAAACCGGTTAAGGAAGTAGCCTATTTTTCAATCCAGGTCATAAACCATCTTTGAGCAAAATTTCGTTTTCAAACAGGTGGCAATTCTTAAAAAAGTAGCCTATTTTCCTGTCTAGGTCATAAGCTATCTGTGTGCAAACTTACATGCAAATCAGTTCAGTCTTTTCCACATATTAATTTAATTAAACTTTCCTAATACGTGATAACTCGTAAAATAGTAGCCTATTTTCCAACATAGGTCATAAGATATCTCTGTGCGAAATGTCATGCAAATCTGTTCAGTCGTTTCCGCGTATTAATTTAATTAAAACATTTCTAACGGGTTTCAACTCTTAAAAGAGTAGCCTACTTTCTAACCTAGGTCATAGGCTATCTGTGTGCAAAATTTCATGCAAATCCGTTTAGTCGTTTCCGCGTATTAATGTAATTAAACTTTTTAACAGGTGGCAACTCTTCCAACAAATTAGCCTATTTTCCACTGTAGGTAATAAGCTATCTGCTTGCAAAATTTCATGCAAATCCATTTAGTCGTTTCCGCGTATTAATTTAATGAAACTTCTTTAACAGGTGGCAACTCTTAAGAAAAGTAGCACATTTTCCAATCTAGGTCATAAGCTATCTGTGCGCCAACTTTGATGCAAATCAGTTCAGTCATTTCCACGTATTAATTTAATTAAACTTTCCTAATACGTGATAACTCGTAAAATAGTAGCCTATTTTCCAATATAGGTCATAAGATATCTCTGTGCGAAATGTCATGCAAATCTGTTCAGTCGTTTCCGCGTATTAATTTAATTAAAACTTTTTTAACAGGTGGCAACTCCTCCAAAAAATTAGCCTATTTTCCACTGTAGGTCATAAGCTATCTGCTTGCAAAATTTCATGCAAATCCGTTCAGGCTTTTCCGCGTATTAATTTAATTAAACTTTTTTAGCAGGTGGTAACTCTTAAAAAAGTAGCCTATTTTTCAACCTAGCTCATAAGCTATCTGTGTGAAAACTTCCATGCAAATCAGTTCACTCGTTTCCGCGTATTAATTAAATTAAACATTTCTAACAGCTGGCAACTCTTAAAAAAAGTAGCGTACTTTCTAACCTAGGTCTGGCTATCTGTGTACAAAATTTCATGTAAATCCGTCTAGTTGTTTCCGGGTATTAATGTAATTAAACCTTTTAACAGGTGGTAACTCTTCCAAAAAATTATCCTATTTTCCACCGTAGGTCATAAGCTATCTGCTTGCAAAATTTCATGCAAATCCATTCAGTCGTTTCCGCGTATTAATTTAATGAAACTTTTTTAACAGGTGGCAACTCTTAAGAAAAGTATCCTAATTTCCAATCTAGGTCATAAGCTATCTGTGTGCAAATTTTCATGCAAATCCATTCAGTCGTTCCCGCCTATTAAATAAATGAAACTTTTTTAACAGGTGGCAACTCTTAAAAAATTTGCCTATTAACCAATCTGGCCCATAAGCTATCTGCGTACAAAATTTCATGCAAATCCGTGTAGTCGTTTCCGCGTGATGATTTCCCAAACATCCAAACATACAAACTTTCACATTTATAATATTTATATATTTATATATATATAAGATAAGATAAGATTAATAAAAAATTTCTCGTTTGTTTTTGTACTTTGTAAGCATTTTTTACGACGTTTTTAAACGACGATATATAATTCATTCAGTCTTCTATTACACTGGCGGTCAAAAGTGAACGAATGGTGTTTTGTTTTTTATATTTACAATGTTTTCCAAGCTATATACCATGCATCTAGCTTTAGGCAAAATTTCGTTTTTATCTTCTTGGGTATGGTCATATTAAATTTTTGCGGAGTGGGAAAGCAGCGTCGCCAACGAAAAAGTAGGGCATTGATACATATATTAGACCCAGGTAAAATTGCACTTTTTGGCACGTTTATCGTGTTATTAATAATTTTACTGCCGAAAGAGCTGGCTCGCAATATTCCACCACCGCTCTGACTGCCATATGCACCTATGTATATCGACTGCGGTGAAACAGTAATTGTGATCACAAGCAGCTAATAAAACTATGCTATGATATTTTTTGTAGTTGTAATAGAGCGAGCCAGAGCGTGGTTATGCTTTCCCATTTCCCATAATTTTGCATGATGCATGATCCATATTTTTATAAAAAAAAACAACAAACAAATTTTAGCTTGCCAAATATTGTGGATATTTAAATAAGAAATTCTTTACGCAGAGTTTTCTGGTGGGTGTACATATGTACACTTGTGATCAGCTAATTAAGTCATCATTTTGATAAATTTTGGCTGTTTTTCATTTGTTTATTTAATAGTTATTATTTTTCCAAAAAAAAAATTATTAAAAATCAACGCGACTCTTTAGCAACTTAAAACTTGCACATTATTACCATTTTTTTTGCACAAATTATCAAATTGCACAATTACAGAATTACAAATTGCACTATTTATCAAAATGTTGATGACTTAATAAACTGATCACAAGTGTATGTATGACACATTAATAAAAAAAGATGCATTTAATACCAAATGATTTATGCATGTACACTCATGGCCAAAATAATATAAATTTTTTGCGGAATCCCCGCCAGCACAAAGAGAAGTTCTTGGGCCTTATAAATAAAAACTTAGCAATTGCTTATTTTTTTAATTTCAGACCTTTTACTTAAATTGATTTGAAGAAATCAATTAAAAAGTCGGAAATTTTAAGAACAAGCAATTGCTTAGTTTTTATTCATAAGGCCCTTTGTCAACTTTTTCTCCAAAATTTCAGAAATTCAACTCGATTTATTCAAATAAATTGATGTAAAAGGTCTGGAATTTTAAGAAAAAGCAGTTGCTTAGTTTATATTCATACAACCCAATGTAAAGAATAATGAAATGTCTAAGTTTATAAAAAATTAATAAACATAAAACAAATACAAGAAAAATGGTCAAAATTTCGCGCTTCTATTATTTTGGCCATGGGGGTATGTATACATCGCTCATTTACTAAAAGACTGTCACAATCTCTGTTTCCTTTAAACACTTTTTCTGAGAAATTCTCTTTATTTAGTTTTGACAGCCTTTTAGTAAATGAGCGATATGTATAGTAAGGTACATATTACATATTAGCGTACATATTTAATAGTAAGGTACATATTACATATTAGGGTACTTATTTAATAGTAACGTACATATTTCATAGTCAGGTTTAGTAATGTTTTACAAAAGATGTTCGATAGAAGTTAAAATACGTGCATACAACTTGCATACCTTTTCATGTGTCGCCATGTAGGAGTCGACATAAGTATTTGTAAATCAAAATTATTTGTCAAAGGCATACATAGGGTGCTTTCCAAAGCGTCAAAACACAAATCATCAAACTCTTTTATTTCTAAACCGCACTAGAAAATTTGCATTTAACCGTGGTTGCGCACATTTCGCTTTACAATCTGCTGAAGCTTAGAAATAAAAGAGACTGATGCTTTGTATTTTGATCCAGCTTAAAAGCAATATGATGAAGTTTATAATTAAGGCTGTGTGCGAGTACGTCTAAATTGCTACCTAAATAGAGAAAAATCCTAAATCACTGGAAAGTGTCGGTAACGCAGTGAATAGGAACAATTTAGATTTTCTGCGAGCATACTTTTCAACCTAAATTGAACAGTCAAATATATTTGAGCGAGCGATTAAGTGAACAACGACTTTTTGATGTTTTAAATAATTTTTATCATTGCTATGGCACAAAAAAGAAAATATTCAGAAAGATGTAAGTATAAATTTATTTGATTTTTGCATTCAGGTAAGTATATGTGTAATTCGATGGATGTGTAGTGATAACCCTAACACTTGTACTTGCCACACTGTGTGGCAACACCATAAAAAGTCAGCGATTGGCAAAATGCAACCAACTTCATGTTATAGAATTTGAATACTAACCGACGCCGAAGCTTAGTCGACGCATTTCGTAAAACTACTGCGCATTTCTACAACTGGATAGTTTATATAAAAGTATATTTTTAAGTTTGTAATTTACTGAATTAAAAATAAAGAATTATAGAACATTGGAGTTCTATAAGTGGTGACCCCGACGAACGTGAAATAACCTGACTATAATTTGTAAACCTGTGGACGATATCATGCCGAACGACGAGGAAACATTTCAAGATGCAGTGGCCCCATTTCAAGTGGCACGGCTGGCAGTTAAGCCGCCACCGTTTTCGAGGCCAGACCCGCGCCTCTGGTTTGCGCAGGTTGAGGCTCAATTTGCACGGGCCGGAATTTCCACAGACGAAACTAAATATTTCACGGTTGTGGCCGAGATCGATTCAGCAGTACAGGCGCACGCTAGCGACGTTATTTCGTCCCCACCTGACACCGGTAAATATGATGCGTTGAAACAAAGGCTTGTTGCAGAATTTAGTGAGACCAGTGAGAAAAGGCTCCGGCGATTATTTGAAAGTTGTGAGTTAGGTAAAAAAAAACCTACATCGTTATTGCGCGAAATGAAAGATCTAGCGAATCAACAGCTGGGTAAGGAGATGTTGAAGTCTTTATGGTTACATCGTTTACCCGTTCAAGTACAGCAAATTTTAGTAACGCTCGAAGGCGATGTGGAGGATTTGGCTAAGAAAGCGAAACGAATAGCAGTGTCGACGCCGTCAGTACACCAAGCGACGGTATAACAGCAACCATTTCGGAATTGGTAAACCGGCTGGACAGGCTTGAACGCCGGGACATTGTGGGTAAGCAGCAGCGCGGTGGAGCACCTCCGCGACGTTCACAACCAGTCAGTACACGCAGCGAGACAGCACGAGCTACACATGATGATTTCTGCTGGTATAATCGCACCTTTGGAGAGAACGCAACGCGATGCCAATCGCCATGTTCTCTCCGGCAAAAGCGCCCGGAAAACTAGTCAGCCCTCCGTTCAAAGCGGCTGCTTCGGAGGACGACATGAGTTCCAGCCGCCTTTACGTTCGAGACAGAACGTCCTCAATGAGATTTCTCATCGAAACGGGTGCCGAGATTTCGGTTGTGCCCAAACGTCACGGTGAGAGTATGCAACCCGCCGCCATGAAACTGGTTGCTGCAAACAACACTGCAATTAATACTTTTGGTAGACGACGTATCGCTTTGGATCTAGGCCTTGGTCGGACTTTCAAATGGTTGTTCGTCATCGCCGACGTAGCGCATCCTATAATAGGTGCGGATTTTTTAAAGCACTATGACATTTTAGTAGACTTAAAAAACAAATCAATCATCGACCGAGCAACCAGTATGCGAGCACTATGCGAAATCATTAGGCCACCGCATAGCATAATTTCATTGAGAGGAGCTAATCCTTTTCACACAATCTTAGCGCGCTACCATGACCTTACCAACGATGGACCAAGGGCAGGTAAGACTGTGACGGCCGTTCAGCATTATATAGAGTCGCGAGGGGCACCTGTGGTGCAGAAGGTACGCCGCCTCTCACCTGAAAAGTTGGAGTTCGCGAAAAAAGAATTTGACTATCTGCTTGATCGGGGCATTTGTCAGCGCTCAAGTAGCCAATGGGCGAGTCCGTTGCACATGGTGCAGAAATCCAACGGAACTTGGCGCCCTTGTGGGGACTATAGGCGGTTGAATGCCAAGACAATCCCCGATAATTACCCGATACGGCATATCCAAGATTTTGGAGGCGACTTGTTTGGTAAGACGACATTTTCCGTAATAGATTGCAAGAAGGCATACCATCAGATCCCAGTGCAGCCAGCAGACGTGCCGAAGACAGCTATCTTGACACCGTTCGGACTCTTCGAGTTTAAATATATGACGTTCGGACTTAGGAATGCTACTCAAACGTTCCAACGCTACATCGACGAAACCGTTAAGGGTTTACCTTTCGTTTTCCCTTATCTCGATGATGTGCTCATCGCCTCCACGTCGCAGGAGGAGCATGCAGAGCATCTCGAAAAAGTTGTTGACCGCTATCGCGCGAGGGGTTTGGTCATTAACGGTGAAAAGTGCCAGCTGGGACTAGAAGAAGTAGAGTTCCTGGGCCACCTCGTCTCGGCTAAAGGCATCAAGCCGCTGCCTCAGAAGGTGAGGGGTATACTAAAATTTAATAAGCCGAAGGAAGTCCATGAGTTGAGAAGGTTTTTGGGGGCCATCAACTTCCATAGACGGTTTTTGCCTCACGCTGCGGCCATCGAGGCACCACTGCAAAGGCTGATGGGCCCATGCAAGAAACGCGACAAAATAGCAATAATTTGGACAACAGAGGCGACAGAGGCGTTCGAAAAACTTAAGGAGCAGTTGGCGGAAGCGGAACTTCTAGCTTTTCCAATGAGAGATGCCACAATAGCCTTGATGACTGACGCCTCAGACATCGCAGTCGGTGGAGTTCTTCAGCAGCTGGTCGATGGTAAGTGGATGCCGTTGGGTTTTTTTTCGCAAAAGTTTACTCCGACTGAGCAGCGTTATAGTGCATATGATCGCGAATTGTCAGCGATTTATAAAGCCATTCGACACTTCCGTTACTTTTTGGAGGGCACAGTTTTCACTATTTTCACCGACCACAAACCGCTTACGCATGCTTTTGAACAAAACTGGGAGACCACCACGACAGACACGTCAGCTAAACTTCATCAGCCAATTTTCCTCTGACATAAGACATATCAGTGGTGCTGATAATATTGTAGCTGATATGCTCTCAAGAATTGAAACTTTTGCGTTACCATCACCAGTAGATCTACAGCAGTTGCATGATGAGCAAAATAGAAGCGAGGATATTAGGAAACTACTCGACGGCGAGCCTACCTCGATGCATCTAGTAACATACCGACATCCAGGTACAGGTATGTAGATAGTCTGTGATGACTCATCTGGTTTACTGCGTCCGTATGTCACAGAGATTTTACGTCGGGTGATATTCAACGCTAGTCATGGGTTGGCCCATCCAGGAGCGAAGGCAACTATTAAATTGTTTTGTTTGGAAAAAGATGAGTAGTGATCTACGAACATGGGTGCGCAGTTGCCCAGCGTGCCAGCGATGTAAAGTCTCCCGTCACACGAAAGCTGAACTCGAACAATTTGCAGTCCCAGGTAAACGATTTGAGCATATCAACGTGGATATAGTCGGTCCATTTACTCCGTCAAGAGGTTTCACATACTGCCTGACCTGTGTTGACCGGTTCTCAAGATGGTTAGAGGTAATTCCCTTGGCGGACATGACAGCTGAGACGGTCGCTAGAGAGCTCTTAGGTGGGTGGATAAGCCGGTTTGGTGCGCCCAAATTTATCACCACCGATCAGGGGCGTCCCAGCAATGGGTTGTGCGCTGGGCTTGGGACCCGCCACGTAAAAACCACTTCCAGTGAAGAAGCAAGGCAAAGCCTCGGATGAGACCCCCCCTTATGATGACGACCACGGCAAATGTTTAAAGGACTACGATTTGAGGGCATGCACCTGGAATGTCCGGACCCTTAATGGGGAAGGTGCCTCTGCCCGGCTGGTTGATGTCCTCGTAAGGACAAAAGCTGACATCACCGCCATCCAAGAAAGGCGTTGGACGGGGCAAGGCAAACAATGTCTGGGGCCTTGCGACCTCTACTACAGCTGCCATGTAAAGGAGCGCAAATTCGGAGTTGGATTTGTGGTGGGAGAGAGACTCCGTCGCCGAGTACTGTCGTTCACCCCGGTGGACGAGCGTCTAGCCACAATCCGCATCAAAGCGAGATTCTTCAACATCTCGCTCATCTGCGCCCATGCCCCGACGGAAGAGAAGGATGAGGCATCCAAGAATCTCTTCTATGAGCGCTTGGAGCGCACGTACGAGCGCTGCCCCCGTCATGATATCAAAATCGTGCTTGGCGACTTCAATGCCAGGGTGGGCAAAGAAGGGATCTTTGGAACCACCGTCGGAAAATTCAGCCTCCACGACGAAACGTCCGACAACGGATTGAGGCTGATCGACTTCGCCGGGGCCCGAAACATGGTAGTATGCAGTACTAGGTTCAAGCATAAAAGGATCCATCAAGCTACCTGGCTGTCTCCGGATCGAAAAACGAGAAACCAAATCGATCATGTTGTGATAGACGGAAGGCACGCTTCCAGTGTTTTAGACGTACGCACACTCCGAGGCCCAAACATCGACTCGGACCACTATCTTGTTGCAGCCAAGATACGCACCCGCCTCTGTGCAGCAAAAAATGTGCGCCCAAATATGCAAGGAAAGCTTAACGTCGAAAAGCTGCAATCACAACAGACAGCCAGCGCTTTCGCTACTCGACTCTCACACCTGCTCTCAGAGAGCACTCTTCAACAAACCGACATATGCGAGCAGTGGAACCACATTTCCCGCTCATTAAGTACCGCCGCCGAAGAAGTAGTCGGATTTCAGCGAGCCCGAAAGAACAACTGGTACGATGAGGAGTGTCAGGAAGCTGAAGAAAAAAAGATGCCGCCTACAGGGCCACGCTGCGATCGGGCGCAACGCGCGCTATGTGGGACCGCTATAGGGATCTGAAGAGGGAAGCGAGACGTATTTGCCGCAACAAGAAGAGAGAGGTAGAAATACGTGAGTGCGAAGAGCTTGAAATGCTGGCCGACAGGAGGAATGCCCGAAAATTTTACCAGAGAGTTAGGCGACTTACGGAAGGTTTAAAGACCGGGGCGCACTCCTGTAAGAACAATAATGGCGACCTAGTAACTGATGTCCAGAGCGTACTTAAATTATGGAGGGAACACTTTTCCGCCCTACTAAATGGTAGCAGCACGGAAAGTTGTGGAGAAGAAGAACCCGAGCCCGCAGTCGATGATGACGGAGTCGACGTTCCACCGCCTGACTATGACGAGGTACGTATAGCAATAACGCGGCTGAAAAACAACAAAGCCGTTGGAGCTGACAGCCTGCCAGTTGAGCTATTCAAGTACGGCGGCGAGGAGTTGATAAGGTGCATGCATCAACTCTTGTGCAGAATATGGTCAGATGAACGCATGCCCGACGACTGGAATTTAAGTGTGCTCTGCCCAATCCACAAGAAAGGTGACCCCGCCATTCGCGCCAACTACCGCGGGATCAGCCTTCTAAGCATAGGTTACAAGGTCATATCGAGCGTATTGTGTGAAAGACTGAAGCCCACCGTCAATGAACTGATTGGGCCTTATCAGTGTGGCTTTAGACCTGGCAAATCCACCATAGACCAGGTATTCACAATACGCCAAATCTTGGAAAAGACCCGCGAGAAAAGGATCGACACTCACCACCTATTTGTCGACTTTAAAGCCGCTTTTGACAGCACTAAAAGGAGTTGCCTATACGCCGCTATGTCTGAATTTGGCATCCCCTCAAAACTGATACGGCTGTGTAAAATGACGTTGAGTAATACCACCAGCTCCGTCAGAATTGGAAAAGACCTCTCCGAGCCGTTCGCCACAAAACGGGGTTTCAGACAGGGCGACTCCCTTTCGTGTGACTTCTTTAATCTGATGTTTGAGAAGATAATAAGAGCTGCAGAACTGAACCGCTCAGGAACAATTTACTACAAGAGCGTGCAATTGCTGGCTTATGCCGATGACATCGACATCATCGGTAACAAAAACCGCGAAGTCTGTTCTGCCTTTTCCAAGTTGGATAGGGAAGCAAAGCGCATGGGTCTGGTGGTAAACGAGGACAAGACGAAATATCTCCTGTCATCAAA